CTTAGGACTTGTTTCCTTCGAAATCAGAGGAAATGTTATCCTAAAGACAGAAAACTCTGGGTCACCACGCTAGTCCTGATTCTCTTAATTTCACTTGCTGGGAGAAATCTTAACTTTAACATTCTCTGGCTGACTACTCAACAAAGGGCTGGTTGTAAGTTGAGTCACATGTCATTTTCAATCCTTATCAAATCTTCTCTTAAGCTCAGCCCAGCTGATGGCTTAAGGAGGGCCCTCACCTTCTGGCAGAGAATTAGTTGAGTCTGTGTTTACACGCTTGGGAAAATCATATTATTAATTAATAAGAGCTTCCACTTTTTAAGCACTTGCTCCAACTACCCTGGGGAGTAGATACTAATGTGATCTCTGTTTTACAAATGGGAAAATACAGTCTCAGTAGTACATGCAAGTCCATGACCACACAGGTAACAGTGACAAGTTTGAGGCTCATACCCAAATCTATCTGACCAGAGCCCAGGCTTTTAGCCTCTTCCTCTCATACTCTCATTATCAAAATATTTAAAAATAGATGAATCAGATTAAATGAACAGAAGAATATATATAACAGAACATAGTCATGTCTGTGTCCACCCAGTGATGTTCATAGCTATATTCTAGCTCCTAGCACAGTGCCTAGCATATAGGAGGTGCTTAAGAAGTCTTAGTTGAACAGAAATTGAATTGAATGACAGTGTAGAGCCTTATAAGAGAAGTTCTAGTATAGAAACAATGGAGCATACTTGGAATAAAAGCATTAATTAAAAAACATAGTCTCCACACTGTGAGCACATGAAGAAAAATCACATCACTCCTTGAAATGAATGGAATGATTTTGAGAGCTACTTGTGTGGCCAAGGTCATAATTTCCCTGTTGACTTACTGAGCTAGAGAACTAATTGGATGAGCGTCTGGGCTGTCCTCATCTTCACTTTTTATTGTCACTCTATTACACATTTCAGTTGCAGCAGGTGTGAATCAGGCATACTTATGCAATCTTGAGTTTCCTGAAGGAGAGCTGCCTACTAGTCATATATCAACTACTCATCTGCCCAACCAGTAAAGAATTAGATAGTTCAGCAGGTGACATGTCAGCAATACAGACAGAGGGCTTAGAAGGAAAGAATTAAAAAGGACACCTAAAATAATCTTTTAGGGAACTTATGCAATTACAAGAGAGACAAATTACAAATGTTATGATATCATCTTCAAAGGGAAGTACATAGGCATTAAGATAAGTTTCTTACACTGAGATAAGATAACATAAGATAATGAAATATATGTGCCATGGGTGATGACTAAAGAAGGAAATAGTAATTATCTAAAAGAGTATGAATGGTATAAATAGCCAAGGAGGAATAAAATTGGGTGGCCCAAGAGTTAAATAATCAGGAAAAACAAAATGTGGGGAAAGGGAAAGGAGAAGACATTTAGTCAATGACTTGAAACTATCCTTTTTGGTCTTAATACTAAGCCTGTTCAGGTAACTTTGATTCATCGAGATGAGGTTTGAAGATTCCTTCAAGTTGAAGGTGTAACACAGCCTCTTTACCTCCTGTTACAGTGTTTTGGGCTGTCCTGAGTGAACTGGTGACACTCGAAAGGCATGCTGCTGATAACATCCCATTCATGCATCCATTGAAGGAAACACCAGCTGCAGTGATCCTTTTCATGGTGGAAACATCTGTAATCTGTTTTATTTTTTACTTATTTTTAATTTTACCCAGACTCTTTCTTCACAGAATTAGAGGAGGCACGGTACACACTATTAGTGAAACCAAGCAGTTTTTATTCATCCACCTTCACAGCTCTGAGCATAGTCTGAAGCATGGAAAGCACTTAAAAAAATGTTTGTTGAAAGAATGGGTAGAGGATTTAAATGACTAAAGGAACATCGGGCTAAAGCAACCACTATTATATTTTGGTTCCGAAATCATTCTTTTCATGAGATTTATTGTTCCTTGGAAGGTCTGCAGGTTCTTACCCCACATAACCTTTTATAATCTAACATCAAGTGGAATTACCAGAATTAAGGAGTTTACATCTCCATCGGGGCTGTGTCACAAGCTGCCAAATTTCAGAGAGATGGCATAGGAAACTCCATCAGAATTTTGACGTATCAACATTGTTCTCTAGAAATACACCCGTTCATTCACTGAGTGCCTTAACTTTTCCTTTACTAATGTAATGGAAAAAAAACAATAACAAAAATCTTTGCTACAAAATTCTCTTAAGAACATAGCTTAAGTGGTTGATTTGCAGAATATAGAAGAGTAATAAACATTAGATAACCTCAAATCCCCTGAGTTTCAAATTCGTCATGCTTGCTAAAAATGCAGATTCCAGGGCCCTTCCCCAGACTACGAGATCAGAAGATGCCGCAGGAGAGAGGCCTGAAAATGTACTCATCTTAAAACCTGGGAAAGATTTTGGAATCACAGCCCTCTCCTTTGTTATCAAAAGAACCTTAGGTCTGAAGGGGTGAGCTGATGAGGTCCTGGTCACAGAGCTCAAAGCTCCAGTGGAGGAAGGACAGAGCCCACCTATCCCTTGGTAATCCTACCACATTTTCCCTTGATGCTTGCTTTTTCATTTCTAACATACATTTCCTAATTATCTCATCCTGCTTCAAAGTATACAAATGGCCTCCTCAGCACTCAAGTACCAGCTTTGTATGCTGGACAGAGATGAATAAGGCAGATGTGGGTTTGCATCTTGGCTCTCTCTGTATGACCTTGGCCAATTTACTTCACTTCTATAACCTGCCATTTCCACATCTGTAAAAATGTGGCCAATAATCACAAGTGTTACTGTGAAGATAACACGAGATAACAAGAGATAGTGCCTGGTACATACTAGATGCTCAGTAATTATTATTCTCTTCCTTATGAGCTATTGTAAAAAATGTGAGTAACTGATGACTCAATTTCTTGTACAAGTACCTACCACCCTACTTTGCGAGATGACAGATCATGGCTAAAGTGGGTACAAGATGGTGGAGATCCAGTATATCTGTGCAGCAAGGCTCAGAGATGGCACACTGTTTAAAAGGTAAACTTTTAGGGGATTTGTCTTGAAACTGCAAACCAAGATGATTTTTTTTCACTTAGATTCTCTGCTCTTTGTTTGACCTGAAACAGACTGATGGAAACTCAAAGCCACCTTAGTCACCCCTCAGTACTGCTATGGTGGCAGTGGACCCTATCATCAAAGTTTTGTCATTAAAGCCTTGGCCCCACTGAAGACAATGAGGAGATGGCTGTGATAGATACAGTCTGCTTCCTTCCTTCCCTCCTTCCACAAGCAATCATGGAACACCTACATTGCAGAAACTGTCCTTCATGGGACTTAGGTGTAATCTGGGTGTCACCTTTGGATTCTACACCCCATGTTCTGGCTCTATTACAGTCCTCTAGACACTAGCCTCTGTCAAACACTAAAAGCAGCACATTGTAAAATGATCTCACATTTATCAGTTCCTCAGAGCTGACCCTGATTGTAGCCATCCATTTACTAAGTGGAGAGTGAAAGCGAAATCCTAAGACCCAGCTCCACAGTTGTTGCTGAGGATAAGCACTTCGGCCACCTTCTCTCCCATGAAGAGGTTAGGAATGGGTTCCCTCTTTATTTGTAATTCAAAGCTGCTAGGGTATTTCAATGTCAATTCATTTCAACATATTTATTGGTGGTCAGGCACATTACAGAAGGTAAGCATCTCCACTCTCCTGAAGCTTGCCGTCTAAGTGAGTACTCCTTGACAAATCAGTTGGGCTTAGTGGGGAGAAGGGCTTGGATTTCTCTTCAGCATGAGATGAAAACATCTATCGGTTTTTACTGGTGCGTACAGCCCAGGATTAGACATTAAGCTGTTCTAACAGATATTTTTCCATTGTATTTTTAACTGAAACCAGAGATACTCCATTTCTGCCATTGGGAACAAGGCCGCTTTCCTGTGCAGGGGACCCAAGGGAAATAGAATTAGGTTTAGGCGGCTTTGGACTCAGCAGGCCCCTTGCCCCAGCCCCGTCCTCCCGGATCGGTGTGGTGTCCGACTCGTCCTTCCCCGGCCAGAGCCGCCCCAGCTGCCGCCCAGCAGGGCTTCCTGCTCGGCCGGTGGGATGTTCCTAGCGACCGCTAGAGGGAGACAAGCGCCTGAAACAGCCGCGCCAGGTGAGGCGCGCCCGCGCCCAGGGCCCCTGCGCCGACCTTCAGACCACGCTCAGCGGTCACTGAAAACACAGTTAAATCAAAGGTAGGTAAAATACGGTACCCCAGTTAAATCTAATTTTCAAATAAACAACAAATACAAAAAAAAAAAAAAATGCGTTGTTTATCTGAAATTCATACTCGAGGTTCAAACTGGTACTTTTTTTTCGCTAAATCTGGCAACCCTAACTAAAGATCAAAGAGATCCTGGACAGACTGAAAGCCCTTTCAGGGTATGGGGGGAAGGGCAGGATTTACTAGCTACCTGTTTTGTGAATGTTGAGCGAAGTTTTGCATCCTTTGAACTGGAAGAGGCTGTTAAAAGCGTGTCAGCCGTGTCTAGCAGAAACGCGAGGAAGAGTCCTGTACCTTAAAATCCTTCCTCCATTGTCTTCTCCAAGGCCAAATGCACCACTAAAGTCCTTTCTGTGTTCAGGAATTTCTCCTGTAGATGCAAATATCAGGAGAAGAACACAAACTCTTATCAGTTAACTTTTCCAGGAGCTGGACAGCTTGTTGGAAATCAGCAGGAGACTAGAAAAATAGATTAAAAGCCCAGCTTGACAGCACTAGATAGGAGGGAAAGGGACACGGAGACAAGAGGAGGAGGCTGGAGTTACTGACGCTACATCTCTAGTCCACAGTATTGTCCCGAACCAGAGCCCTCGCCGAGGGTGCATTTAGACTGACCGGGTGGCCCATACCCAGTCAACGGGAGCGACTTCTGAGCACCTGGAATGCCGACCACGATGGCACCGCATTGGCAGTAATAGTTTTCTCAGACTCAATAAACTCAGTCACTCTCAAGCAGCTTTTTTATTTCTTCCAGTAGTTGGAACAGAGCTGTAATGTCCTTTGGTCCTAATAAAGTCGAGAGTAATCACAAGGGGCTGGTGCTCATCCCTTCTCTTGCGTGCTCGCTTCCCCTTCTCAGTCGCCAAAAGTGCGGGTAGCATTGAGAAGGTTCTTAGCACGAATATGTCCACAACGCTCACGAAAGGAGGTGTTCCTCTTCCGCTTCTTTTCCCCCAAGGTCAATATCAAGCAAAAAGTTCTTAATTGCAGGGGAGGATTCCTTAGCATCTGAAAGGACATTTAAATTCATTTAAATTACTGACTTTGAAGACACTGCACTATCCTGCAGCGCTGGAGGCTTTGTTTTTTTAAACGCTGATGAGGTTAATATCAAATTAAATCAGCAGGGGGCACAATTTCTCCACAATATGTTAGGCTTCGCTTTTTTTATTAGAAAGAAAAACACCTTTTCTTTGTGCTATTTTGGATCGGTGTTATCCGATAATCCAAACATCGAAATGTCACGCACGGATTCATGTTCCACAGAAAAAAAGGCAACAAAAGCCACCCAAAGGGGGGTGGCATATTTACTGACAGTGCCTTGCTAATTATATCTTTTCTGCATCAATGATTCTTTATTTTTAAAAGTAATCATAGGGTGGGCGTGTTCAGGACGTAAATACAAGCACTGCGGTGGAACCTGTTGCCGGTATTTAGAGTTTTTTTTTCCAGAAACTCCCAGCCTAACGGTGACTTCCATTTTCTGGGGGTCCAGAAAATTTGTAGGATGATTTCCTTTATTGATTTCATCAAGAATTGCAGCAGATACTTTCAGGGACTGTGTTTTACAGCTGTTTTGAACATCTTGAAATTGTTTGCGCACCCATAACACATCACAATCTCACTTTTACATTCTCTTTTTGATTTGCTAGAAAGGAATAGAAAGCAATGACCTTGTCTCCTAGCTATTCCATATGTGCGACCCGGGTTGCTCAAGTATCAGCTCCTGCATTTGTACTTGGCCCTGGCTCAGTGCTATTTCAGATTAATCACTTTATTTCTCTCAGATTAATCACTTTATTTATCTCAGCATCCCTTTTATTATCTTTAAAAACAAATACAGATTAGGATTATGAGAAAAATTCAAGAAATCTTGTCACTAAAGGGTTACCACGAGTTCTTTAAGATTGTTTTATTAAACTCAGTACAGTGTTAATAATAGCCCAAAGTCATGTAGAACTCACTCTGTTTCAAGCTTGATTTCTTTGTATTTATTACATCATCAATTTCTTTCAAGGCACAAAGAGATTAAGAAATGTGCCTAAAGTCACTGATGAAGAGGTGCAGAGATACAGACACCCAATCTGGATTCAAAAACTATGCGCAAGATGTAAAATTTTTAAAAATTAATTTAATTTTAAATAAGGAATAATTCACAGGTTTTTAAAGTAAAAATGGTATACAGTGAGTTGTGCTTCAACTCTGTCCAACCTGTTCTTCCATCCTCCTGCCCCCCAGTGGTACAACTTTCCAGTACTCCATGCAGTTACAAACCAAAACAAATAAATATTCTTATCCTGCCCTTTATGACACTATAGATATCGTACTGTAGTCACCCTTCTTTGCTTTTCTACTGAATCATCTCTCCTGGATACCTTCCCAAAGTACAACAGAGAGAGTATCCTCATTCTTTTCAGCTACGTGGTATTCCATTTTGAGAATGCACCATAGTTTCTTTAACCAGTCTTCTATTTATGGAAATGACTTGTTTCTCATCTTATGCTATTACAGCACATCACTTGTGCATGTCACTTTGTGACTGTGCAGAGATTTCTGAAGGATAAATTCCCAGTTATAGAACAATTGGATTAAAGGGTGAAAACATTTGTAATATTGTATAGATCTTACCACATGGTCCCCTCTGGGGACTGTACCATTTGCATTCCCCTAGAAATGTTTGAGAGTGCCTGTTTTCCCATAGTCTCACTAAGAGAGTATATTATTGAATTTTTGGATTTTTGCCAATATAAGTGAGAATAGCATGTCAGAAGAGTTTTAATTTGCATTTTTAAAATTACCGGTAAACTTGAGCATCTTTTCATTAGTTTAAGGGTCATTTATACTTCTTTATATGTGAACTGTCTGTTCACGTCTTTGCTCACTCATCTTTTGGCTTCTTGAAATTTTCCATCCCAATTTCTAGTAGTTTATATATTAAGGCAATAAACCATATTTATATGATAGGAGATGCAAATATTTCTCTTGGTTTGAATTTGCTTTTTTACTTTACTTATGTCTTTTTTCAGACCATAAATGCATTTTTAAATTTTCCGTGCTTGCATTATGATACAGGACTTACTGTTATGCTATTAATTATTCATGGTTTAGATAGGTTTTATTCAACAAAAATATGTTGAGAGCTTACTACTGTGCATCCTACCTTGTGCTAAGTGTTTGGGGCAAAACTGTTCTCCGGGAAAATGTCCTAATTCAGTGAGTGACACAGTCTTGTAAGTAAATGATCCCAGTGTGCCAGTGGTAAGGGTTATAATAGAGACAAGAGAAAGGGCTATAAGATTATAGATGGTCTGACTATCAGAAATTTGTGAAAGATTTCATAAAGAAACTTATTTTTAAACAGGATCTTGAGGGATGTGTAGGAGTTTGACAAGAAGAGAGGGAAGGGGTAGGTTAAGTCCTCACACTCTAGCTCCAGAGAAACTAGGTCCCATCTTGGCATTCGAACAGCTCCCTCCTCTCCATGCCAGACAGGCTGATTTCTCCTTGTATCAATTCGGATCTTGAGGGATGTGTAGGAGTTTGACAAGAAGAGAGGGAAGGGGTAGGTTAAGTCCTCATACTCTAGCTCCAGAGAAACTAGGTCCCATCTTGGCATTCGAACAGCTCCCTCCTCTCCATGCCAGACAGGCTGATTTCTCCTTGTATCAATTCGACAAAGCACAGGTAATAATCCCAACTGTCTCTTACTTAAATAAGAGGGGATACAGTACTCTTACTGAAGGAAACTTATCATAGCTGAAATTCTGCAAAGGTGGGTAAGCTTATGGTGGCTTCAGTCTCTCAATGTCTACCTGACACCATTCTCTGCTAACCATTTGATGTCAAGTGTGGTATTTCACCTCTAGAATGAAGAAAAGGAATTCAGGGACTAGGACATCGATAGTCCTTGATCATGATGACCATGTTTTTTCCTTTAGGTTGTTCAGTTCAAGCATGAAATACAATTGATGTGCAAGCTAGGAGAGGTGGTGGAGTCAGCTACTGACTGGTCTTCCCTCGTGCACTGGGAGAGCAGGGACTGGCAACACCGGCCTCAAGTGACAGATACCACTTGTTGCCTATCCAACTTGTCCTCCCTTCTGTCCCATCAGTGGAACTCCTGTTTGTCTCAGAGAGGTGAGGAGACTAGCCCAGGGGTGACTGTGACTAGTTTGGTCTAGTCTAGGCCAATCATGCTGATCTAGTTCCTCTCTTTCAGAAACTGGCTATCTGGCTTCCTTTGAAGCTCAGGATGGTATGACTCTGTTATGGCCAATACCTCACAAGGGGAAATGTGCTGGGACATTTCTGAGACAGCTTTTGCTTTTTTAATAAAATAGACAGATAGATGATGCCTGCCTTCCCTGCTTCATCTTGCCATGAATACACCTGTGACACCTAGAACTGCGGCAGCCATCCTGTGGCCAAGAAGACTGAAGAATTTTTGCAGTGGAATCAGCCCTGATAATCATCTTGCTGACTTAATACAGCAGTTGCCTATGTTCAGTCTTCTTGGTATGGGAGAAAAAGAAACCTTCTTTCTTAAGCTGCTGTTGGTTGGGTCTTCTACCGAGCAGTCAGGCAGTCACTCAGCAGCAGCATGGTGGCAGCTGGTAGGTTGGCTTGCCACACTTCTGGAGATTCAGCTGGTAAGGAGACAACAGCCCAAATGAATTTAGACAATCCATCACTTTTACGACAGCATAAGTAAGATGAACATGGTGTCAACTACCTGCAGCCCTTGTCCCCCAGGACGACACCAAAGCAAAAAGACCAGATGATGAGAAACAAGAGCTGGGGTGCTGGGGAGGGGGGTGGGACCATGTTGCTGAGGAGCCAACTCTAGGCTGCAGCCAAGCAGTTTTATAGTCTACAATGGTTCCCAAAGGAGGGAGACAGATGGAAAGTCCCATGCCTCACTGGAATCAGGAAAACAGATGGGAAACTGCCTTGTGGCAACCTCCCACAAGGTAGGAAGGTAGATGGGGAACAGCCTTGTGACAACTCCTCACAGAACCGCACCTCTTGCCAAGTTCCTGAGAGGAAGACAGGGCATTCACCAAGCCAAGTCGGATTGGCAGGGCCTCTCCTCCATGGCCTATATGGAGACCAGCAAGGGTGTCAGGGAGTTGTGGCAGAGCTGTTCCCCTACAAATTGCAGGTAAAAGCATTTCTCATTGAGAAAGTTCTTATGCCATGATGGCATGGGGGAAAGGTCTTAAGTTTGTTGAAGGACAAAAATTTTTCAGAAGAGTAATAGATTCTGTCACTTTTTTAATCTTTTGCTGAAATATTTCCTGGTATCTCATAAGACTGATCACTTGAACATCTCACTGCATATGAATGTGGCATTGAAGTGCACTCCCAGGCATTCACAAGGACAGGTGCCAGGCCGTGCATGTGCATGTGCGTGGGTGTGCACACACTAAACGTTACTGACCAACCTCAGCCCCAACACACTGTGTCATCTTGCTTTCTGCGGCTGCCCTTCAGAAGTATGTGTGTCATTACACATTCAAATTCATCCCAGTCACACAAACTGCCTTGTCTCACTCTTATTTCTTAAATACATAATGCAGATTTTGAAACATAAAATTCCTATCTTGATAAGCCTTAAAAGAAACCATTTTATAGCCTTTAGCCTTTTCAAGCCTGAAATAAAACCTCAAATAACTGCAAGAGCAAAGCACAGGTGACACTGCTTATTTGTCTGTCACCCCTGACCACACCAGCTGGGAGATGTTGCTGTTACTTATGATTCAAAATATTCACATCATATCACCTTATGTCCTGAGGTAGAACTTATGATGTCTGTGTATGATTCATCCTAGCTTTCTACGGGGATAAAAATGAGATAGGCTTATCATTGTGGAGTAGAATAGATAATCTTTGAGCAGGAAGGGACCTACAGATCCCATACTCTAACCACCTAATTTTACTGGTGAGGAAAAAGTGATTTACCCATATAGTCTAACCCTATGGACCCAGAACCAGAGCACCCATGGAGGTCCCTGGGCTGCCCCTACACTTACACCCCATGCCTGGGCCTGCACCACAACGTGCCTTGTGAGCATTCATGTGAACATGCCCGACACATGACCATGCTCTTCTATAACCAGGCACTTTACAATTTATTATCCCCTTTTAATCATTGTCCTTGAAAGGGGATGTATGACAAATGTTTTTAAGGTCTGATTTGCCTCCTTTTAAAAATGATTCCAATGAGTAAGCTATCTCTAGTGTGCTTTAGAATTTGTTGGAAAGACTTCATTGACTTTCTGAAGTTCCCAGAGAAAGGACAGATTCAGGAACACTAGGTGGGAGAGGTGGAGAAGGGGAGGCCAGAGGGTGGAAGCAGGGGGATTCAGTGAAAGTCCACATACCGAGGGGTGAGCCCTCAGCCCAAGCCAGCTTCATTTCTCTTCTGAGAACTCTGGACACCAGCCTTAACTCTTCAGGCAGGAGAGTGGAGGACTCTTCTCTGGATAAACAGATTGGGCAGGAAAACAGACCTACAGACACTAATGTTTGAGGGTCACTCAATAAAATGGCTACCTCCGCCTATAACCCCACTGCAAGGTTAACCAGGAGTCCAGGGCCAGCCTTGAACGCCGAGCATCACTGAGCTCTCAGGGACCTCGCTCGTATGAGTAAGAACAGCCAAAGAAAGGCAGATGTCCAGGGAAGCCTCTAAGTTGAAAGACAGGGACAAAAAAGTAAAAAATAAAACAGGAACTCAGGATTCAGAAACTAAATAGAGAGGAGAAGAAAAAAACAGCCCCAAACATCTCATAATAAAACTCCTTAGAGAGAAAAGAGAACACATCACGTCCATGGAACAGGAACTGGTGAGTTCTTGGATGTTAAAATGTGAACGCCGAAATGGAAAAAAGTCAATAGAATTGCTGGGAGATAAATTTAAGGAAATAATATGAAGCAAAATAAACAATCAAACAATAACAAAAAAATCCCACAGATTTGTAATGGGAAGACATAAAAAAAAAAAGCAGTAAGAAAATTAGAAGATCAAATTTGGAGACAGACTTAAATAATAAGAATTTCTGAAACAGAAGAGAAAAAGTGCGAAGGAGAATGTTACTAAAAAGGTATTAAATGGGGTTATTCAGTTGGTTAGAGCACAGTGTTACAACACCAAGGTCAAGGGTTCAGATCCCCATACTTTCCAGCTGCCATAAAAAGGGGAGGGAGTAATAAATGTCTTTTTCAAGAATTGAAGGTTGTTAGTTTTCAGATGCACCTGAGAGCCCAGGCCAAGGAATGAGAAAAGACCGAAAACAAGGGTTCTGCAGAGACTGCGGCCCACCTGGTCATGTGTGGTCTCTGATCAATTCTGCAGTTTCCTGCTGGGACTGGACTCTGTTCTAAAACACAGGCCATGTGTCTGGAGCTGGACAATATGTGAATTTTAAGCCAGGGCCCTCTCCCTCAAAGTTGGGCCGTGTCTCTGTAGCTCAGTTGCTGACCGAGGACTTGCCCCTTCCTTCTGCTAGTACAGAACCTGACGATTACTCCTGTCTGCAGAGCACTCTGGGGCATCGGCTCATCCAGAGAACATCCTGGATAAAGCTTCCAGCTTGTCTGGACCCCTTTCATTCTGAGATTTGGAAGGCGGGCCACCACTTCCAAAGCATGCCCAGTGGCTATGTCGGTTCCTGCTACTAACCCTGCCCGTCCCTAACTACCTCTGCTTCCCACTGGCCTGCGTATGTCACAGCTCAGCCTAGAGTGCTTATTTAAACAACATCTCATTATCTTATAGTTAAAACGCATGCCGAGTGTTGCTGGACCATATATTAGGATACTTCAACAAGTTCATGGAAAAATAGAATTAAAAAATAATACAAATCTTTCCATGAACTTTTTGAAGAACCCTCATATTTGGGTCAGGAGGAACTATAGGCCTTAAACTGTAAGATTTCAATGAGTGAATACCTGCATTAACAAGATTAGATTCCTAGAAAATTTGTTGACATAAAATGTGTTCTTAATTAGACACATGAGCCAGTTCACCCAAATAAGGTCATTTGAATAAGCAGGGAGAGAAACAAGGAAAGGCAGCACAGAGGAAGCTTATGATGCTCCCGGCCATACCTTCTGCAAGTATTTATTGACAGCCTACTGCATGTCAGTCACTCTCCTAAGCACCGACAATACAGGAGTGTAGCCCTTCCCTAGCGGAGCTTACATTCCAGTACAGGAACCATAAACAAGCAAATACATGGTACTTACCTGTTTTATTTCACAAACACACAGTATGACTTTGTGCCAAACTCTTTTCTAAGGGCTTTTAATAGTACCTCATTCAATCCTCAGATCAATCTTATGAGACAGGCACTATTAACACTCTAATTTTTTTAGAAGAGCAAACTGAGGCACAGAAAAATTAAGTACCTTGCCCAAGGATCCACAGCTGCCAAGTCACAGAGCAGGTTGCATGCATGGGTTGCAGCTCCAGGTTCTGCCTCACCAGCCACCAGCCTGCTCTTCCTGGCCAGGAATGGGCTCTGTGGGGACAGCAGAGCAGAGTGAGGTGCTAGAGAGTCAGGACCAATGTTGCTTTAGATAAGAACATCAGGGAGGACCTTTCCGAAAAAGTGACATGCCTACATGGCCCTCTAGGTGCTCTGGAACTCAAAGCACTCTGCAAAACAGAGGGAGATGGGCCTTTTCGCTTTTGCATCCTCATGATTAATTTTAAAAGAAATAGGAAGTTTCTTGTTTAGCAAGTGATGTCAAACTCTTTAAATTTTGTCAAGGCCACAGTTGCCAGGAGCAGTGTCCACAATACCCAGCCAGTAGCAGTTGTCATGGCTTCTTGGGAAATTTTATTTCCTCTCATGACTATAAATTAGTTTCTGTAGATGACACCATTCTCACCCATTTCAACAATGTGATACATTTCTCTGCTTTTTAAAAAGGTGTTAATAGTTATCACCCTGTGACTGTTTCTCTGCTCATATTTATCCTCCCTACTTGGATTTTTTACCATTGCTATTAAACATCACATCTGCAGGACACTGGAAAATATCATAGGCATGATCTACCCAAATAGATCAAGTAAAGCTTCATCTTCCCTTTACTTTGGACTCTACATTTCAACTCTCTGGGTTCTTATGTTGCTTAGCAGTGTCTAAATTTTATTTATATCACTTACTAATAAAATGGCAGAACTAAAGTGCCCAATCTCTCTTCAGTCCTACTGTGCTTTCTGCAATTTGAAGAATCTTAAAATGCACTGTAAGAGTAAGTGCCATGGAAGGCTTCCTGGAAATGGCATGAACACAGCTGTGGGAGTTAGCGTCCCTGCATCAACTGATCTCTGCACTATTTATTTTTTTTATTTTTTTTATTTTTCTCCCTTTTTGTCTTTTTTCGTGTCCGGCAACGGATCACAACCCTCAGTGTTGCCCCCGTACCGGACCGGGGACCGGCAACGGGATCGCAAGCCTCGGTGTTGCTCCCGCGCCTCGCTCAGCCAGTGAGCGGGAGCCGGTCTGTATGTGCTGAGCGGGAGCCGGTCTGTATGTGGGATCTGAACCCTCGGTCGGGAGCGCCGCCGTGCTTCCCAAGCGGCGCACTATCCAGTGCGCCACCGGGCCGGCCCTGATCTCTGCACTATTAAATGCCATCAATTTTCATTATGTGATCAATAGAAATGGCATGATTGCTCAGAAGCTCAACCCTGGTATTTAAATTTCTTCTCCCCACCTTAACGAGAGCATATATCACAACAGTGGATTGGCATGACATTTAAGACACTGATACTCTGTGATTAGACACAGATCATTCAGAGATTAGGCTTTTGGCTAGCCATGATTCTAACGTGCTCTGTATAGCAATCGTGGTAATTACAAGACTTGCAAAAAGAATAACAAAAAATATCTTGTTTTTTAGACTGCACCTTGAGCTTTTTCTCAGCTAGCATTAGTATTTACATAGTTGCTTGTGTGGGAGGAGCTTCTGTTGTATGCCACGCCCGGAACACAGGGGTGGGAAAAGGGATAAGAGGCTTGTGAAGGTTAATACTAGATGTCAACTTGGTTAGATGAAGGAATGCTTAGAAACCTGGTGAAGCTATCTTTATAGGTGTGTCCATGAGGGTATTTCCAGCAGAGATTTATATGAGAGTCTGAGTGGCCTGGGTGGGAAAGACCCACCCTCAGTGTGGGTGGGAACCATCTAATCCGCTGGGGGTCCAGAGACAGCAAAAGACAGAGGAAAGAGGTGAAACTCTCTATCTGCTGGAGCTGGGATACACTCTTCCCTCCTGTCTGTGGACATCAGAGCTCGAGAATTTTCAGCTTTTGGGTTCCAGGACATACACCAAGGACACCATCAGCTTCCCTGGTTTTGAGGCCTTTGGACTTGGACTGAGCCACGCTACCACATCCAGTTTATAAGACAGCCTATCGTGGCACTTTTTTCATAGTCACATGAGCTAATTCCCCGTATAAATCCCTTCATATAATTATAATTTATCCTATTGATTCTGTCTCTCTGGAGAGCCCTGACTAATACAGGGCTACTGGGAAGACAAAGAAATAAAGAAGAAAATTAGGAGTTGGTAGGAGGCAACTGGAAACAGAGCCTAAGTATATTAAAGGTTCTCCAGGGAAATACAAACAATAGATTTATTGTAAGGAATCAGCTCACGTGATCATGGAGGCAGGCAAGTCCAAAATCTGCCGGGTGGGCCAGCAGTCTGGAGACCCAGGGAAGAGGTGAGGTTGCGGCTTCAGTCCGAAGGCAGTCTGGAGGCAGAATTCTCTCTTTCCCTGGGGACTTCAGTCTGCTTTCTCCCAAGGCCTTCAAATGGTTGAATGAATCCATGCACATATCTCATCTAATAAAAATACCTTCCCAGAAACATTCGGACTGCGTTTTGACCAAATGTCTGGGTGCTGTGGCCAAGTCAACACATCACAGAAATTAACCATCACAGTAATGGTCCAAGTGGAATTATCCAGTCCAGTTTTCTAAACAAAGCAAAAAATCCCTTCTTGCTCAGAAACTCATCCATTCTCTGCTTGTGTTGGAATGAGTAGGACTGAAACCATGTTGAGATCTAAAACCACCTGGGCTGCTGGTGGCTGGGAGTGGGAGAAGGGGTGGAGGCGGGGGTGTGCGGATTTTAAAAAGGACAGTTTTATTTTCTCTCCACTCTTTCTTCTCATCTTATCTTGCTCGCCAAATAGAAAAACAAGGTCGAGAAGCTAATTAGTACTTTGCAAAGCTAACAGTTCTTTTTTTGAAACTTGTAGAGTTTTGAGAAGTGATCAGGCCAAATGACTGGAAGCTGACCTTGGGCACCAGCCAAGTACACTGGAGCAAATCAACATCTTGCAGGGTCCTGAGATAACAGCAAAGACGAGAACAGAAACCAGATGAGGCCTTGGCGAGACCTCGTACCTGACTCACAGACACAGACTCCTTGTTAGCTCACGTCTCCTTCTCTCCTGCCTTTCACCTCCCATATTCCATTCCCTCAACCCCTCATTTAAAAGAAAACCCTCAATGAATCTAAATCTTTGAGATGGGATAGCCTACCATCTCCTTCAGCTGAATACATCTGCTTTTCTAACACCAACCATTTACCTTCTGAGTCTTTTTTTCTTTCATTCTCAAGGGGGTGGGCAGTCAGACCTGAGTTTGGAAATACTTGAATGCCGTCTCCTAAAGAGACTATCAACATTTTAAATATTAGACATTTTATTTTGAAAAAGAATCAGACCTACAAAAAAGCTGTAAGTTTATTACAATTAACTTCCATATAGTTTTACCTAGATTCACCCATATTTATACATGTGCCCTCTCTGTCCATATACATATTAATATATATAATTTCTATTTTTATTCATATATATATATTGCTGAACCATTTGCAAGTTGCAGAGAAAATTACCTTTCACTCCAAAATTTTTAAGTGTATATCTTAAAAACAAAAACATTCTCTTAAATAAGCCCAGTATAATTATCAAAATCAGAAAAGTGAATAATGATACATTATTGTTATCTAATATCCATAGTCAAATTTCACCAATTGTCCCCAAACTGTCTGTTAGAGCCTTTCCTTTCCAGTCCAGGATCCAACCCAGTATTAAGCATGCATCATTTGCCATATTCTATGGCCTACTTGAAATTGGAATATTTCTCAGCCTTTCTTTGTCTTTTATGTTATTGATATTTTTGAGGAGTTCAGGCCCATTGGTTCGTAGAGTGTCCATCAGTTTGAGTGCATCTGATTGTTTTCTCATGGTTTCTATTCAGATTATGCATTTTTGGCAGGAATACTACATGAGTGACGTTGTGTCCTTCTCAGAGCATCGTATTGGTTGGTACCAAAAGTCATTTTTCTCATTATTGATGATTAGTGTGATCACTCGATTAAGTCATGTCTGTTCGATTTCTCCCCTATAAAGCAGTGTTTTTTTCTTTTGTGATAATGGGGAGTTACTTTGACACTGTGTAAGTATCCCATTCCCAAAGAAATTTCTCCCAGTGGTTTTAACATCTACTGATTATTCTTCTCTCCTTCAATGATTATTATGATGGCTGCAAATGGTGATGTTTCTACATTTATTAGTTGGCATGCTTCTGTAGAGAAGAACTTTCCTTCTTTCCCCTCCCTTACCTGTTTGGCCTTTTTGTTAGTTCTGTCTCATTATAAATTTAAGAATTCCTTTTTATCTAGTGGATTATGGTCCACTACTTTCAATATTAGTTTAGATGCTTCCCAAACTGCCCAGGTTTGACCAGCTGTGCCAAACAGCTCCTATATCACTTTAACATGTCTTTCTTATTTTTACCATGCTTCCCTACTCTCCCCTCATTATGTTTTAAGATAGTCTGTTCCATTTTGGTATCTTCTATTAATAAAATGTTAAACTATATTGCATTAAGATCTCCCTATCTTTAATTTTCAACTTTGATCCAAATCTTGCCTTCTGGCATAGCAAAAATATTCCCTCCTCTAAATCAGACACATTCACATATTTGAATTTAGCTTCCTGTTTACCTGAAGTCTTATTTTCTCCCGGCTAAATAAACATCTCCGATTTGATTCGGTACATATAGAGGGTGATTATACACAAGTCACGTGATTGGTACTAGTGGACAGAAAAATGAATAAGACATTGTCTCTGTCCTGAAGAAGCAATTAATGTGAGAGCCTGGACAGGTAACGCCTAACTATAAAACAAGCTCTGCTACTATGACACAAGGCAGGTGCAGCGAGGGCGCAGGAGACACAATGGCTGATTCTCCCTTAGGATCTGGGGGTGGGAGACGGGAAACTTGACAAAGGAGGTTGTATTTGCATGGAGGCTTGTGACAAAGGACAACAACACAGAGAAATGGGGTCAACATTCCAGGCTGAGGGAACTGCATGAATCACGAAACTTCCATGTATGCAAACTCATGTAAGACATTGTTTTTTCAACCCACCAAGCTACCAAATGGTCTTCATTGGCCCCAAAGCCATTTGTCATTGTCCCTTTTATAATGTAGTAACAAAAAAAAATGAGTACAACACATCAGAGATTCTAACTTATTAATTTTATGAGAGAAAGAAAAGAGTATCCTATTCCTCTTCAGTATGAGTGAGCTTCTACGTGGTTGACTGTAGTTAGCTTCTTAACTCTGGGGGCAAAACCATAACATTTCTGCAGTAAAATGTAAAAATACCGTACTCACATTAAGTGCAATGAATAAATACTACAAAGAGCTTCATGTCAATTTAGGTCGGGTGTTACCACTAAAAGAGAAAATAACTTTTATTATTTGTAGCTTTCTGGATTTCAAAATTGGTATATAGAATTGCATAATCTTTTATCTGTAATCCTTTTTGCAAGTAGGTTTTATGTTAATATCTCTGGTCTGAAAACTATCCTAAAGTTGATTAAAAACTTGGTGTATTAGTCAGAGTTCTCCAGAGAGACAGAATCTATAGGATATGTTATAATTATATGAGAGGGATTTATTAGGGGAATTAGCTCACGTGATTATGAAGAAAAGTCCCACAATAGGCCACCTATAAACTGGATGCTGGTAGCATGGCTCAGTCCAAGTCCAAAGGCCTCAAAACTAGGGAAGCTCATGGTGTCCTTGGTGTAAGTTCTAGAACCCAAAAGCTGAAGAGTCTCGAGCTCTGATGTCCACGGAGAGAAGAGTGTATCCCAGCTCCAGCAAATCGAGAGAGAGCCTCACCTCTTCCCTCTGTCTTTTGTTCTCTCCAGACCCCCAGTGGATTGGATGGTTCCCACCCACACAGAGGGTAGGTCTTTCACACCCAGGCCACTCAGACTTTCATACTAATCTCTGCTGGAAACACCCTCATGGACACACCTGAAAAGATAGCTTTACCAGGTTTCTCAGCATTCCTTCATCTAACCAAGTTGACATCTAGAATTAACCTTCACACTTGGTATGAAGCTTTAAGAATTTTAGACTAAAAGAAAAACATGTTTGTGCAATTGCATGTAACCTAAATTCATTTGAGTTGACGAGATAGTGGGAGAAATTTTTCAAAAGAATCTCATTGAAGAGGATGGTATTGGGTTGCTTTTTGTCATGTTAGTAGAATCTCATAAATTGATGATAGGATAAAAAGACAGAAAACATGTGGATGCTTAATAAATCATTTTGTAGTTGAAAAACTCAATTGTATTCCACGTACAGTACAATCTCATTGAAGAGGATGGTATTGGGTTGCTTTTTGTCATGTTAGTAGAATCTCATAAATTAATGATAGGATAAAAAGACAGAAAACATGTGGATGCTTAATAAATCATTTTGTAGTTGAAAAACTCAATTGTATTCCACGTACAGTACGTGGCTCATAAGTGTTCAATAGGTACTTATAAGTGAAAAGGCCCAAAATATTAATAACCTTGGAGAGCCTTTATGGACTGAAATGTTTGTGTCCTCCCCTGCCCCTAAATTCATATGGTAAAGCCCTAACCCTCAATGTAATGGAATTTGGAGATGGAACTTTTGGGAGGCTCAGATGAGGTTATGATGGTGGTACCCACATTATGGGATTAGAATACTTATAAGAAGAGACACTGGAGAGCTTGTTTCCTCTCTCTGCCATGTGAGGACACAGCGAGAAGGCAACTGTCTGCAAGCTAGGAAGAGAAACCTCACTGGGAATGGAATCTGCTGGCACCTTGATTTTGGACTTCCCAGCCTCTGGAACTGTGAGAAATAAATGTCTATTGTTTAAGCCATGTGGCCTATGATATTTAGTCATGGCAGCCCAAGCTGACTGAGACAGGGGCTTACATGTGATCATATTGCCATAATAAACTTATGAGAAAAATAAGGAAGATAAAGTTACACTGCAGTGGTGCTAATACATATTCCCTCTCCCAAATCATACTTTTTGGCTCCCCAAATAAAAAGGACTACAGTCTATTTGGTTTTTATTTTGTGTATTGAGATTTTCAGTTAGAAAGATATCATGATCAGAAGTCAGTTAGAAAAATGCATGCTCATTAAATGTGTTCATTATAAGTTCAGAAGTCTTAGAAAGGCTGAGCAGTTCAGGCATAGCTGAAGACTTTTTTTTGGTGTTTTGTTATCCCTTTTTAAATAAAGACTGAGTGTAAGTACAATATACATATAGCTTGACATTTTGATTTATTCAAGATCCCTTTCCTTGGTTTTAAAAGTTTCAGAGACTAAAATTTATTACCATTTACAACATAGTATTTTCAGTAAAAGAAACTATAGAAAAATCAACAGCAAGGTGTCATAGAGAGCCTTATAGCCTGTAAACACACGCATATTTATAACCTGTATTTATTTTC